AATAGCTAGCATGATATGAATAGATAAATAAATTGTATTTCCATGTTTTATGTTTACATGTTTTTAATCGTTTATATATATATATATATATATATATGCTATCTTTTATTTCGTACTATCTAAACTATATATTAATCATATATATATATATACTTTTTTTTAAAAATGATAATGGAATGGTAGCCCCGCCTGCGCTATGGGTATACACTGGCGGGGCACCAGTGAGAGATGAGAGATGAGGATGAAGACAGGTCAGTTTGCCCTTCGTGACGAATTCAACGATAAATTAGTCACGATGGTTTCCAGGGGGAACCGCGTGGAGGTCGACCTGATAGTGTATTGATAGCAATGGGGATTAACCTCTCCATTACTAACAGTGCCTTCCCTCTTATATATATGTACTATAAGCAACTAAGTAAAGCGCATAGATACCTTCAATAACATTACAAAATTTCATTAGATATTTCCAAACACAAAGCACTATTACAATCAGAGGTATGTAAAACATTTTACAACTCCGATAAAGAAGTTTACTGTTTTATTTTACTTGCTTTGACGATGTAAGGTTTGTTCTGCTTACTTAGAATAAGGGGATACTAAGTTAACTTACTCATAACTTACTTTCACTTAGACAATGTATAAAATCCGATAGTAATAATTATTTTAAAAGCTATAGTAATTCATATTACATAGTAAGATCCTACTTAGGTTTAAGGAAAAAAAAAATTATAAAAACTATTGAGGTCAGAATGGAGAAAATGTTGGAACACTTAATACGACATGACATGAAAATTATAATAGAAGGTAAGATAGAAGAAAGGAGAAGAAAAGGATAACGAAGGTATAGTTACATCAGACAGATCAAGGAAAAAGTTGGTGTCGTGTCTAGATCAAGAGGTGAAGAGACTCGTTGAAAATCATAGTGAGCGGCAAGAGCTCCACCGACAAGAGCGCAGCTCTTAAATAAGAAATGGAAAGTAGAATATTGCTATAAAAAAAATTTAACACTTGTTTATAATTACTGTAGTAGTATCCGAGGTAGATATAAAATCCAAAATGCCGACTATTCAATATAATTTCCAATATATTTTTACGCCATATTTGAAAAGACAATATTTTATATTTTTACATTACAGCAAAGATAGATGGATACATACACAGATACTGCCTTAACAATTAATCCTCTCCATTCCAAAAGTTACTTGGAAGGTATCGCTTTTAACGATAAGGCTGATACTCGTATTGTTTTCTTAGTGTGATTATTTCTTGTAACTGTTTGTATCTATAGTAAGTATCTACTTATCTAACTGTCTATCTACTTGGAAATGGACATCACATAAAACACTATAATGCCAATAGTGTTATACCTCTGTACCCTATAATTATTGCCATATCCCACCCTTCAAACCATAACACAGCCATAAAATCACAGTTGCTTCACAAAAAATATATTTCAAACATCTTTATTTTATTTTAAAAAGAATTACATAACAATTTTATCTTCAAAAAGAAAGTAAATTTTAAAATTTACATTAAATATAAAGTATTGAAGTGAGGCTTTTTAATTACACGAGATTTTAAATCCCATAATATTTTGTTAAGTAAAATTTTGATTTAAATATACTTTGCCGATTTTCGAGTCCGTAAAAGAAATTTTGTGGCGACGTCGAAAATTAAGTATTGCAAGTACACTACAATATTTTTCTCAATTATAATATTTTACTAGCTTCTACCCGCGTCTTCGTTCGCTGGATCAGGATATGTTTATTCACCACGATAACAATAGCTTAGTTCTCCATACAATATAATACATGTATACCAAATGTCATAATTCACTTGATTCAGCCATTAAAGCGGTAAGAGGTAACAACCAAACTCACTTTCACATTTATAATATTAGTAAGGATTCACGTCAAAGAAACTAATTAATACGAAGTTACTAACTCACTGTAAAATTAAACCGCAATTGCTTATTTCCTTCATATCATTTTCTATTCCCTAAATTCTAATTACAGTACTGAAATATAATTATAACTTTTAAACTACTGAAATGATGTAGTAGATTTATAAAATCCCACTAGACTTATTATAATTATATCTTGAAACAGTTTCTCTATATTCTCAAATAGAATTCTGAAAATAAACGAAGCAAAACTAGCAATCCGCCCCGTGAGCTATCCGCTTCATTAGTAAGCGATATTGTTTTATGCCATAATTAAATTCGCTGATTTTTCATTGACCTATTAACATTATTACCAGGCCTATAATAACAAAATAAATATATTTGTATCTGTTGAAGACAATGGCTGATTTAAATAGCAATTATACTATATAATATATATGTAATGTAACGAAAATGTAATGTAATGTAAATTGGACTCTCTTTTCCGCGCTTAGACTCGTATTTAGGCCGTTGTGCGTATGAGTCGTGGGTAGTACAGCCAACCTAGGGGGGAAAGGGAATAATAGCAATGGAGATTGACAGCCCCATTGCTAGCAATATGCCTTATTAGGTCGACCTCCACGTGGTTCCACCTGGAAACCATAGTGAACAATTCTTGTTGAATTCGTCACGATTAGCTAATTGACCTACTTCATCCTCACCTATTATCCTTCACTGGTGCCCATTAAAAAAAAAGTACAGTCAACCTAGCTCCGCCCAGAAGCACAGAAGCTTCCTGGGATCTTACTTCATCCACGACAGGAATATGTTCACTACCCAGAATAAAAAGTAGACTATATACGCTTCTCCAACATATATAATACATGTATGACAAATTTCATAGTGATCGGTAAAGCTGTTAAAGCCATTAAGAAAATTTGTATGCCTTAGCGGTAAACAAACTTTCTTTCACATTAACAATTTAGTAAAGACTAGCGGCCCGTCCCGGCGTCACACGGGTGGACATTTTTACATTTTAAAAAGTGGCCATTAAGGCTGCACACGCGACGGAAGCTTAAAAATGGAGTAACTTCTCCCGTTTTCCCAACATTTCCCTTCACTGCTCTGCTCCTATTGATCGTAGCGTGATGAAAAGTATACTATAACCTGCCCAGGAGTATGAAGAATAATAGTATCAAGTTTCGTTAAAATCCGTCGAGTAGTTTTTGTTTCTATAACGAACATACAGATAGAAAGACAGACAAAAATTTTACTGATTGTATTTTTGGCATCAGTATCGATCACTAATCACCTCCTGATAGTTATTTTGGAAATATATTTCATGTACAGAATTGACCTCTCTACAGATTTATTATAAGTATAGAAGATTTGCAAAATCATAACACAAATTTCCCTTAGCATCTTATAAATTGATAAAAGCATAGGAAATTAAATAATTCGTCGTGAAGTACTTGAACGGAAACTTCTGAAAATTAATAAGTGATTTGGTTCATTATTAGGCAATCAAGGATATTACATCGGGAACTAATTACACTCTATGTCTAATGCTCAGTGTTGCCAGATTGGGTGTTTCACAATTCTGAGTAATTAATTTCTCGTCACAAAAAATATTTTAGAGAATTTTGGGTAACTTAATGAATTGATTTTTATTTTCATTCAGTTTTCAGTTAATTTTGAAAATATAGAATATGTTATACTTTGTTAATTTCATTAAATACGGATAATTTGATAAAAGCATAGGAAATAAAATAATTTGTCCTTAAGCACTTGAACAGAAACTTCTGAAAATTAATAAGTAATTACGTTAGTTAATAGGCAATCAATTAAAATTACATCGTGTACTAATTAGAATCTTTGTCTAATGCTCAGTGTTGCCAGAATAAGAAATTAATTTCTCGTCATGAAAAAATGTAGAGAATTTTGGGAAATTTAATTTTTATATTTTTATTTAGTTTTTAATTAATTTTGGAAATATAAAATATACTATGTTTTTTGTTCGTTTAATTAAATACGAATAAGTTACAAAATTAAATTTCGCTGAAGTAAGTATGAAGTATATGTTAAGTTAGTAGCTTTTTTGGCAAAATACTTATTTTCATTGATTACTTGTTCGGTGATACAAATAAAAATCTCTTAGGTAAAACAATAATTTCTAATTAAGGAAAAAATAAAAAATGAATCTGGCAACACTGCAGTTACTGTCAGTCTCGAATACCAAAGAATATTTTAAGCGAGTCAATTTAGATTATTATTGTTGTATATTCCATTAATATAATAAATTTATTATCTATATTATTTTACCAGAGGGTGACTTCGTACAAAAGTCGTCTGCTTGGGTACTTCTATCCTATTAGTGACAATGTCGTGAAGCAATTGTGCTTGCATGACTGTGTTTCTGTTTGAAGTGTGAGATATGGCAGTGAAATTACAGGATGCAGAGGCGTAACACCAGTCTTCAGGAATAGCAACACATGAAGAGTATCATGGGCAACACATACATACGTTTGTTACGTACATAGTACTGTTGATTGATATGTATCATATGGATACTGTTGAGTCGTTATAGTACATGTATGCCAAAATTCATAGTAATCGGTGAAGTCGTTAAGACACTATGAGGTAATAAACAAACTAACTAACTTTTATATTTATAATATTAATAAAGATTGCAAGGGCAGATTCTTAGTTCTATATACGACTAACAACCTCCCTTTCAGCCTGTATAAGAGAATTAAGTCGCCGTGTAATTCCGGCATAGAATAGGCCAGCCCTTCTTTCCCGTGGATGTCGACTAAGAGACGGCGAGGGATGGGCAGCAGCGTCCCTCTTAAGACATCTCTAAAAGCCTAACTGCGGTTGCCAACCCGCCTGCCAAGCGTGCTAATTACTGGCAAAACTCCTACTGTAATAAAAATAATAAAATAGAATTGGGAGCCTTTTACAAACCGCTTAAAAACTGTAAACAAGAATAGAACAACTTTGTTATTGTCCAAACGGTACAACAATACGCAACCTAAAATCATTATATCCCGACCCGGAATATGAGGACTTAAGTATTATCTTCATAATTTATATACCGCTACGTATTAATGTTTACCTGTGCTTTATTAAGGGCTGCCAGGATTAACCGGGTGACGTGTACACGGGTGAGAATGACCGGGTCACGGCTGGGAAATCGCGGATATTAAAATTTCTAAAAATATATGCAAGTGTAACTCAGGGTCCATTCTAAGCTGTTTTTGGCTTTATTCAATCTTTTGTATGATACACTAGCCTTAACCCACGACTTTGACAATAATACGAAGTGATTTCTCCATACCAACAAGTATGTGTTTACAAAATTTCATGACTACTGGTTGAAGCGGGGGGAAAGGGATTGTTAGTAATGGGAACTAGTGGCCCCATTGCTAGCAAGCCCTATCAGGATGACCTCCATGCAGTTTCCTCTGGAAACCATTCTGATTAATACTTGTTGCATTCTTCACGATGGGCTAACTGACCTGCTTTCATTCTCACCCATAATCTCTCACTAAAGTCCCACCAGCGTATACCGTTAGCACAAACGGGGTTACCATTCCATTATACATTTCCATCTTAATACATTTTACGCCCTTTTTTTTTACAACACAGGGGGTAAACGAGCATGCGGCTCACCTGGTGGTAAGTGACTACCGCCGCCCATAATCACCCACAACACTAACGGCATTGCAGGTGTGCTGCCGCCCTTTTAAAAAGGAATATGCTCTTTTCTTCAAGGTTATGTTGCTTTGTTGCTATATTTTGCTTCCTTTCCCGTGTTTGTTGTAAGAAGCAACTAAGAGAACTTGATGGTCGAAGGATCTTAAAACACCACCAAAGTCTAACTGCGGTTGCCAATCTGCCTGCTGAGCATGGCAACTATTAGCGAACTGTCCTAACAGGGGAAGACCTATATTCAGCAATGGACAGGTAACAGCTGATATGATAATGATGGTGTTTCAAAGCATGGATAGATTATTAATTTAACATACCGCTATTTCGATTTCACCTGTATTTAATCAAGCAAACATCCTGTAACATATGTTACAGACTGGTGTAACTTACACCCCATTACCTGTCTGTGGTCACGTAACGGGTTGAATGCGGTCTACTAGACCGAGGCCGGGTAATGAGGAATATTATCACCTCCGGGGCACGTGCCCACAACGCGCGACTCGTCCTTAATTAACGGATTTTTTCGTAAATCATCCGCGCACGGAATTCGATGCTAATGTGATTAATAAGAAATCTGAACACACAATTCCATAAGAGCGGAATTGTTATAAATATATATTATATAGGTATTAATATACCTATATAATATATATTATATATTATATATTATATATTATATATTATATATTATATATTATATATTATATATAGCTATATTTTACTTTTTTTTATACAACTTAGAATGGCAAACAAGCTGACGGCCCACCTGATGGAAAGTGGTAACCGTCGCCTATAGACATGAGCAGTACCATGGACATAACAGAGTATACTGTTTCGCCCATGATACCCCCCATGCGTTGCCATTCCTGAGGACTCAGATGTTATTCCTCTGTACCCTGCAAATTCACGCCATATCCCACCCTTCAAACCGAAACACAGCCATGCAAACACAAATGCTTCACGGTAAAAACACGAATGGGACAGAGGTACCCAAGCAATCGACTTTTGTACAAAGTCTCCCTCTGGTATCAATCCTACTACCAATACCTTTAGGTAATTATAGGCTACTGCATAGAAACATAAACTTGAGATATCTGTATAGAGCTAAGAACAAGGAATTACATAGAAGCAATGATAAAATAAAAACTGTAAATCATGTGGTTGTCTCCTTTTTTCTTATGCAAATATAATTAGTAAAAAGAGGACGAAAGATACACCATCAGCTGCTATTTTTCTCAATTCATAGCAGGTTAGTGTATAGAAAATGTATATGTAAAATTTTTGTTCATATTTATATGTTAGTTGTCAATATCAAATTTTACATTATTAGATTATATATTCGACACAGTTTATGTAGAAAGTATGCAAGCAGGTTGCATCTGAATTTAATAGGGTTATACGGCCGATATAACCAAGTGACATATCTTAACGAATTTCACTTCTACGAACTAGTCAAAAGCCAGATACGTTTTTATATATCTATCCCTCTCTAACGCATTGGCAATATCATAAATAGAACGAGCAACACACTATGTGAATTATGCATTTCATCTATTCTATTCTGAAATTATTGGTAAAGAGTATATTGTAAATGGAAGAATATACTAAATTAAAAAATAATAATTGTTTATTTATAATTGTTTTTAGGATGTAGGGATCTACCTACGTATGTAAATATTGTACCTATTTTTTGTATTCAATTATCTTTTGTAATACTTAGGCTAGATGACTTTCTAAGTAAAGATTTAATAAATGAAAAAAAAATAGTTAATAGTTTTTACTTTCCTTTCCTCAATGGCAGTCGGTCGCCATTATTACGACCATTTCTGCCAGCATCATGTATAAGAGGCTCGTAACTCGAAAACTTAGATTATGTTGATAGAGTGTCTCCACACAAATGCTTCGTGAAAAGCGGGTCAACTTTTCATACAATTCTGCGTGATAAATAGTTACGAGTGTTTCCTTTATAACGTCAATATTTATTTTGTTTTATATTTTTTGCATCTTTTAAATGTGTAAAAACTCATTTTATTTATTAAATAATTAAATATAGATACGTCAAAATTGATGTTATGTGCGTAAGTATAAAGAGCACTGATAAAAAACGAGTCAGCTTATTTGACAATTTGTTGACTGAAAGTTGACCCGTTTTTGAGACTCGATGCTCTATTTACATATATAATCTAATCTCGAAAATTATTGTTTTTCTACAAGTAATATTTAAAGTACACCACAATCAAAACAAACATTTACGTATTGTTTCATTTAATTAATTAATTATTAATTACCACAAAGTCATCATCATTATTTCAACCATTATCCGTCCACTGCTGGACATAAGCCTCCCTCATAAACTGCCATAAAGAATCAAAGAAAGGTCCTGAGCCACCTGTATCCACTGATTCCCTGCAACGGATTTCAGGTTGTCACTCCATCTAATGGTGGGTCTTCCTACTCTTCGTTTACGCGTACGTGGACGCCACTCAAGAACCTTTCTTCCCCATCGGTTGTCAGTTCTTCGAGCTATGTGACCATCCCATTGCAACTTCAGCTTGCTTATCCTTCCAGCTATGTCCGGTTATTTTATTTTTATTTTTTTTATTTTAATTTTATACAACATAGAATGGCATTTTTTTCTCTCCCAACGATGTCTAATTATATGTTTTTTTATATATAGTTTTATCTTTTATATATTTATATAACATTTCGTATTTTCTTTATTTTATGTGTCATTCTTTTCATGAATTATTCCTCTGTACCCATAATGTGAATTCACGCCATATAACTTATATACAAAGTAACAATCTCTTAATTTTTTCATGTTCCTGATTTTTTTTTTTCCAACGAAATAAAATTAAAGGTTTTCAACAAAAAAGGTTATTGTTTTTAATTAATTTCATTTTTTTTTTATGGAACTGGGAATGCGCTCAACTTTTATCTTTTACCTGGATAAGTCGTTAATGCTAATGCATTCAATAATGCAAATTTTAACACCCCAAATTTAAATAACTGGTTGTAAAACTGATTAATTGTAGACTTGGATTTAGGACTATTAAATTTCTGGAAATTTTATATCAAATAACTTTAATTATAGACATACAAAAACTTCTGAATTGGTGCAATCTGAATTCTAATATTTTGATCATATTCGGGTAATGGAAAATATTATCGCAATCGGAGTGCCAAACGGCCAACACAAGGCGATCTTGATAAGATGGTCGGAGAGTTTGGAGGAGAGATGCCTCGTTTAGAGATGAAACGCGTGTCGCAACACGTGCGTGGACTGAATAAAGGTCGGAAATTTATGACTTATATGAATGTCGTAGAGCGTCTACTAATAAAATTAATACTCAATCTTCAAATGTTGACTATTAGGTGCATACTAACGGTAGTGGAATTAAACAATTCCAATCGACTAACCAGGTACCAGGAATATTATCATTTCCAAGGCACGTAGGTACTGCGCGACTCGTCCTTAATTAATTGATTTTTTTCGTAAATCTTCTGCGTACAGAATTGGGTGCTAATGTGATTAATAAGAAATCTGAACACACAATTCCATGGGAGCGGAATTGTTACAAATATATATATATATATATATATATATATATATGTGTGTGTATATATATATATATATATGTATATATATATATATATATATATATATATATATATATATATATATATTAGCTAACTATCAATATTGCATATATCAACTGTATTACGCGGCATTGCATGCCTATAAATCCTTAGTAATATTATAAATGTGAAAATGTGTAATATTATAAAACTTTCAACCAACTTCAAATAGAAGAAGGATCTTAATTCGATTATTTTTTTTTTTTTTACTTTTTAACTCCGACAATTATAAACCGATTTGGAATATTAATATATTTTTATACGAATGGTATATCCATTACTATTACTAACAGACTGATTCCATAAAAATGTTATCAAAATTAGTTACTGCTAAATTTTTACGAAATTAAATTAATTAATTAAATAAAGAATAAAATAAAATTAATTAAAGAATATATCAGAGGGACCTTTGTACAAAAGTCGATTGCTGAGGACCTCTGTCCCATTCGTGTTTCTACCGTATATATATATATATATATATATATATATATATATATATAGGAATAACATCCTCAGGAATGGCAACTCATGGGGCATGAAACAGATACTCTGTTATGTCCATGGTACTGCTCATGTCTATAGGCGACGGTTACCACTTTCCATCAGGTGGGCCGTCAGCTTGTTTGCCATTCTAAGTTGTATAAAAAAAATTGTAATTTTTAACGTTGTGTCTATATAAATATACATACGTAGGTATATATAATATAACTGTATAACTGGAACTATCCTCAGCATTAAAATAAATTACATATTACGCCCCTAGTAACTGTCGTTTTAGATGCGTGTTATATTGTTGATTATAACTGACACGTAAGGGAGCATTGTTTTGAAGATAATATTATGGGTCGTTACACCCTATATACAGGGTGTTATCGGAATCGTTTGAATAACATACGGCAACGCATGGGGGGTATCATGGGCGAGAGACTCTGTTATGTCCATGGTACTGCTCATGTCTATAGGTGACTCTTACCACTTTCCATCAGGTGGGCCGTTAGCTCGTTTGCCATTCTAAGTTGTATATATACAAAAATACCATATTAACTGTTAACTGTCCACTGCTGTACATAAACCTCTCCCATAAAGGGAAGTTTTACCAAAAGTTGCCACGCTCAGCAGACGGATTTTTTTTAATAGATGAAAATGGAATGGTAACTCCGCCTGCGCCAACGGTGTACACTGACGGGA